TTTATACAAAACTAGGGTTAAATTTCTCATGGTTAAAATTTGTGGTCAAAACTGCAGCTGAATTAAATTTAAAGGAGTTTAATTGACAATCAACAGTTTGTAAATTGGGCAGCCTCCAGAATCAGCAGATTCACAGAGACTCCAGGGGTGCCTCATGGTCGGAACAAATTTACAGACAAAAAGGTAAAGAGACGTACAGGACTTGGAGGTGAGGTACAGAAACAGTGGTTGGTTACAGCTTGGTGTTTGCCTTATTCGAACAGTTTGAACATTCAGCAGTCTATGACTGGTTGAACTATGGCTGCCAATACTCAAATATTTTTACAGGTGCATACTATTAAGTTAGGTTTTTAATTTTGTCTGTTAAGCTAGATTACAGTTCATCCACAAGGACTTAAATACAGGTGCACAGAGTCCTTCTCAGGGCATAGTTTGCTGTAACATTTCCTAAACTGGTTTCATGTGTTAAGTAAATTATCACTGTTTATATGATAATTTTTTTAAAAATATAAAAAAAATTCAAATAAATAGAATCTTATATAGCAGTTTAGATTCAGGAAATTAATGCTTGTAAAACCATTGAGACTATATAGTTCTCAGAGTCTTTGTGCACTCCAGTTTGAAGGGTTATGTTTTAAAGCAAGGATAAAGAGTTCGGGTTAGTTGTAAATCACTTTCAAGAGTTTGGACCTCCTTTTGAACCTAGTAGAATATCACTGACAATCTTTGGAATAAGGAGAGGGACATGATTAGTGCTGTGCTTTAGGGAATAAACAGAATGGGGGGATTCATCCATTCATTCAACAAGTGCTGTATTCTGGGTGTGTGGACTAAAAGGTGAAGAAAACACAATCTCTACTTTCCGAGAGCTTACATTCTAATAGGAAAAGGCACAAATGAGTACAATAGCATACTGTTAGCTAGAGATGGACACTACTGAAAACAAAACAGGCACTATTCTAGAGAGTATGAATACGAAGGTCCTGTGCCATGGAGTTTACATCCTAATTGGGAAAGACCAGAAATAAATGAAACAATAGCATAATGTCAGGAAGCGATAGTAGCAGTACTATCAAAAGTTAAGGGGTGTGTGTGTAAAAGATAAGGAGTTTATTTTCAACATAGGGATGTTTGGGAAACTAGGAGATGACATCTTATATCAGAGCCTTGACCCGAATAAAGTGATGAAGTATACCCTGTGAACATGTGTATCGGTCAAACTTGTCCAACTCGTGGCCTGCAGGCGGCATGCAACTCAGGACGGCCTTGAATGTGGCCCCACACAAATTCATAAACTTTTTGAAAACCTGAGTTTATTTGCATTTTTTTTAGCTCATCAGCTATTATTAGTGTTAGTGAGTATATTTTATAGTGGCCCATGACAGTTCTTTGTCCACTATGCCCCAGGGAAGCCAAAATATTGGGCACCACTGATCTAGGTGAAAAGAGTTCCAACAAAGGGAAGAGCAATACAAAGTGTAGAGACAGAGTATGCATGGCATATCTGGAAAAGCAGCACAGCTAGCCTTGCTGGAGCAGCATGAGAAAGCAGAAGATAAATAGAAAATAATGTTGGAAAAGGTAGCCAGTTAGAAAGTAATGTAAAGTTCTGAGGGCAGAGAAGGTTTTGCATTTGCTGGTGAGGACAGAGGTAATACTTTACACTGATTTATGTATTAAAAGGATCACTGTGGACACTTTACTAAAAAATGAATGCAGGGGGGCTGAGTGCAGTGGCTCAAGCCTGTAATCCCAGCACTTTGGGAGGCCGAGGCAGGTGGATCATGAGGTCAGGAGTTTGAGACCAGCCTGGCCAGCATGGTGAAAGCCCATCTCTACTAAAAACACAAAAATTAGCCAGGTGTGGTGGTGGGCACCTGTAATCCCAACTACTCAGGAGGCTGAGGCAGGAGAATTGCTTGAACCCAGGAGGTGGAGGTTGCAGGGAGCCAAGATTGTGCCACTGCACTCCAGCCTGGGCAACAGAGCAAGACTCCATCTCAAAAATAAGAAAAAAAAAAATGCAGGAACGCAGGATTAAGGAGTCTTGGATTATGCTGGTATAGGAAGATGGTGAGATTGTAAGTGAAGAGACTAAACTCTGATTTTCTATCTTGCCCAAATTTCTTCCAAGGGTTCTGGGGAGTCATGCCCTACAAACCATAAATTCTCATCGGATGTCTTTTATTTGACCCTATATACTGTAACTTACTTTTCAGTCTGACTCTGGCATAACATTAAGAGACAAGGGAAAAAAATATATTTCCTTGCCATACCTTGAAATTGTCCTGCAATGTCTCTTGTGGGAAAAATCCACATTCTATAGAGAATCTCCTCCACCCTTTGTTTTTTTTCCTTTGTTTGCAGATCCGGTAAGATAATCAACTAAGAGCCAGGCACCCTTATAGGTCTGATAAGAAACATTGTACAACCTGCTCTCTCTCTGAAGTCAGCTGAGAGATTCCTCTGCATAATAAAACTGGTCTCCACAATCCTATACCTTAATCTAAACATTCCTTTCCATTGCTCCCAGGTCTTCAGATAAATTCAACCAATTGTCAGCCAGAAAATGTTTAAATTTACCTATAGCCGGGCCACCCACTTTAAGTTGTCCAGCCTTTTTGAATCAACCAATGTATTTCTTAAATGTATATGATTGGTGTCTCATGCCTCTCTAAAATATATAAAACCAAGCTGTACCCCTACCACCGTGGGCACATGTTCTCAGGACCTCCTCCTGAGAGCTGTGTCATGGGCCGTGCTCACTCATACTTGGCTCAGAATAAATCTCCTTAACTATTTTACAGAGTTTGACTCTTGCCATCAACGTAAGTAAGGGAAGGAGGGTCAAATAATAATGACATCTCATGTGTTTCTAATGAATACTAGAGTTACACATTGGGAAATAGCAAACAAATTTCTAAGACCCTGTAGAGGGAGGGTAACGTGGAAACTGAATATAAAGGCAGCATAGGTGGGGAGAATGGGGAAAATGGAAGACAGCTCTGACGCTCTGAAAATTGGTAATTAGAAGGATGGAAGTACCACTGTTTCCAATAAAGAAATTAAGACAAGCTGGGGAGAGAAAGGGAAAGATAATGAGTTGTGATTACATTGAGTATATCTGGATGTCAATATTTAACTGATATAGATAATAAATTTACTCATCTCCAAACAGACAAAAGTTGAGGCCATTTTTATGTCTCAAAGAAAAAAGCAAGTAGCTATTGTTTTTGGAGTATTAAAGCAAAAAGAAGCAAAAGGCCATTAGCCTAGGGTTGTTGCTTACCTGGAGCTCAAATAGGCACTTGGAAACAGTTCTTGTAACTGACTTATTAAAAAACCCACGAGTCTCAGGCAATCACGAACAGCCAAGGGGATAATTGGTTACACAACTAGGGACCTCCCATCAGCCAGATAGGCAAATGTCTTATTAAAGCATGACCAAATAAGGCAAACCTAGCTGTAGCCAATCAGGTAATTTCCTCACTTTCCTTCCTTGTTTAGTCTATAGAAGCTTGCTCTCAGGCCCCTGGAGCAGACCTTTCTGAATGCTTCTGGTTCAGAAAGCTGCAGATTTATGAATTGTTCTTTACTGAAATAAACTGTAAAATTTAATTTGTCTCAAGTTTTTCTTTTAACGGGAGTGATAACTACTAGGGGCAAAATGTTCACATAGTAGTGGGAAATCAAAAGCCTGGGATATAGAAAAGTGAGATTTGTTTGTAAACTCCTGTAACAAAGGCAGCCTAACATAAGCATGCCTGTAGAGCCAGATTGTCAATGTTCACATTCTTTGGGCCTTAATTTTTTTATCTGAAAATTGTTACAATGGAATCTAGTTGATGCGGTTGTTGTGCAGCAAGTGTTCATCTGGAGTCCACAAAATTTCAGCATCTGTGAACCTTGTATTGAAAAAAATTGTAACTTTATGTCTATTAAACCTCAGAACAATTTAGTTTCTTTCAATATATTATATATGTAATATATATATATATATTTGGAGACAGGGCCTTGCTCTGTCTCCCAGGCTGGAGTGTGTGGTGGCGTGATCAGAACTCACTGTAACCTCAAACTCCTGGGCTCCAGTGATCTACCCAGCCTGTCTTGAAATAGCTAGGACTATAGGTACTTCCCACTAGAACCAGCTGTTAAATATATATCTATAATTTTTGGAAAGACAACGTCTCATTGTGTTGCCAAGGCTGGTCTCCAGCTCTTGGACCCAAGCAAGCCTAGGTCTCCCAAACCATTAGGTTTACAGGTGTAAGCCACTGTGCTAGGTTAATCCTATATATTTAATTCCATGCATTTAGAAATATGTGCTATTTTAAGACTGCATCTACAGGCTTTATCAGATTACCAAAGGTGTTCAAGGCACAAGTGAAGAAATCTTGAGATAGAGTAGTAAAAATCATGATGCATTAGAACAGACCAGACCGGCCTGTATCAAACGTTCAATATACAGTCTGCTGCTATGCTTTTTTTTTTGAGACAGTCTTAACTGTCTCCCAGGGTGGAGTGCAGTAGCGCGATCTCAACTAACTGCAACTTCCTCTTCCTGAGTTCAAGTCATTCTCCTGCCTTAGTCTCCTGAGTAGCTGGAACTACAGGTGCGCCACCATGCCCGGCTAATTTTTGCATTTTTAATAGAGAGTTTCACCATATTGGTGAAAGCTGTTCTCAAACTCCTGACCTCTGGTGATCCACCTGCTTCAGCCTCCCAAAGGGTTGGGATTACAGGTGTGAGCCATCACACCCAGCCTGCTATGATTCTTAAAATATTTACAGAATAGAAATTGAAGTAAGTCTATTCGTTTTTGTATTAAAAGCAGCTAGTACAGTGCTCTGCACTTATGCACTCTATGGATGCTGAAGGAATCACTGAAGAGTCTGGGCTGCGCCTCAGGCCTTTCATTTGGGACTGGAGGGAACAACTGTGAAGTTTGAGGAGGATTCTGGGCATCAGGGGGCTCTGGAGTACCCCAGGGCTCTGAAGGAGAAGAGTTGTGTTCCTAATAATGTCCCAATGAGAATGGGGATTGCTGGGGACCGCAGGGACCAGGTTCTCATTCCCCAAAGCTCTCCTTCATCATCCAAGAAGGCACTCAGGTCTGTGCAAGGCCTCAGGTACAGTGCTGGACTACCTAGTAAAGGTTCAGTAGCAGGACGGCCTCAGATTGAGGTCCCAGGGCCAAAGGAACGCCCCTCTCCCCAGCGCGGGTCAGGGGAAGGCAGGCTCCGGGAGGGAGCGCACGCCGCGCCCCCGGAGCCTTGTTCCCTCGCCACGCCCACTTCCTGCCCCATCCCGCGCCTTTCCAGGTCCTCTCCCGGTGAACCGGATGCTCTGTCAGTCTCCTCCTCAGCGTCCTCGGCCGCGGCCCGGGTCCCTCTCAAAGCCACTGCCACCCCGGAGAGCCCAGCCAGGGGGCTCCCGGAGGCTGGCGGGGCGGGCGTAGTGCGCTGTAGGAGCTGGGCGCGCACGGCTACCGCGCGTGGAGGAGACACTGCCCTGCCACTATGGGGGCCCGGGGCGCTCCTTCACGCCGCAGGCAAGCGGGGCGGCGGCTGCGGTATCTGCCCACCGGGAGCTTTCCCTTCCTTCTCCTGCTGCTGCTCCTCTGCATCCAGCTTGGGGGAGGACAGAAGAAAAAGGAGGTAGAATGGATCCACTTGGCCTTCCCCGTGGGCGGGGGCGGGCCGGGGTGGGCCGCGTTGTCAGGCAGCCCAGCCGCGTTGCTAGGCAGCCTGGCTGCCGGCGTGGGCGATGGCGGCGGTGAGACGGGAGCCGCGTGGGTGGGAGGCCCTGGGGCGTTTCCGGGACGTGGAGTTAGCGGGGTCCTGACTTGTAAAACGACAGCAAAGCAGGCGCTTGGCTCTGGTTCTGAGCACCTCACACCTTTCAGACCCGGGCGCTTTTTATCGTCAGCTGGAGGCCCAGCTTAGAGCAGTTGTGTCACTAAAAGGGGTGTGTTGGATGTGAAAAATACCTTCTAGAAGTATTTATAAGCCTGCAGGAACTTTGTTCCCTATTTTCTTACTCTGCTCCCTTTGTTATCCGTTTCAAGAAGCCACAGAACCTGTCGAGAGTGTTTTAAGTTATTCTGTATGTTTATTTTTCTTTGTACTGAACTCAGTTTATACTTGTGAGAATAATCTTACATTATTTATTTTATGCAAGTACAGTATAACATACTGTGTTTTTAAGTTACTATTTTTCTTTATGTTGAACTCAGTGTATACTTGTGAGAATAATCTGACATTATTTTATGCAGATTTATTTCTGAAGTTTGTTCAACCTGCTTTCAATATTAATCCACCATTAACTTTGACGAGGGTGAAATTTGAAGTGACTGGTTGTATTTAAAGCAGTTGTAGTATGTGTTTGTAAATTCCAATTATCCATCATGGATAGTTTATCAGCTTCAGCAAAAATAGTTATTTCGGGAATGTGACTAAGGTTTCTCATTGTGGACCATTTTGGTAAGAGTGCTCTGCTTATGTAATTGAAGATAGTTTTTCTTGGTGAAGTTGTACACCATCACAGGGCTCAACATCTGAATTGGGTTTAAGATATTAACAAAATTTTAATAGCTGGGTAGAGACAGTGAAAAATAGCCTCATATGCAGAGTAATTCTGATTTTCTTATTCTTTGTCTGAAGCAATTATTGTGTGTTCATTATTAACTAATGTACTTGTCTTTAGCTGTTAAATTTTAGCATTGAAGTAGGCCATATGAAATTATTGGTGAAGTTCTAAGAGATTTAGAGAACCACTGTTAAATTGAAATTGTATTTACAAATTAATGATATATTTTTTAGCACTTGGTATACCGTATTCCAAAAGTTTTAGATTTAGTAGTTCGTGAGAAAGGTGAAAGAGTGAAGAAAAAGTAGTTTTTGCAGATTACCAAAGCAAAGGGCCATAAAAGATGAAGTCCGTGAAAATTGTGATGTTTTATCTCCTATGAAGGTCACTAGGACCACACTAACTTTCAGTTGAAGGTTGTGAACCCCAAAGTATTTAAGACAGGTTTCGATCAGTTTAGGAAGTCCCCCCCTCCCCAATGGTTCAGGATGCATTAGTGACACAGCCTCCAGAGGTCCTGATGGCAGGTGCCCAAGGTGGTCAGGGTACAGCTGGCTTTTATAGATTTTAGAGAAACATAATACATTGATCAGTACATGTAAGGTCTACATTAGAAGGGTGGTACAACCCAAAGGGGGAGGGGTTTCCAGGTCATAGGTAGATTTAAAAATTTTCTGATTGGCAGTTGTTTGAAAGAATTGTTATTAATAGAAAGGAATGCCAGGGTTACCATAGGGGTTTTATTAGCCAGATGAAGCCTCCAGGTGGCACACTTAAGAGATAATAGATGGTAAATGTTTCTTATCAGACTTAAGGGGTCTGTGTTGATGTTAATGCTGGTTGGCTTTTCCTGAATTCCAAAAGAAGGAGGGTTTAATGAGGCATGTCTGGTTCACTTTTCCCATCATGGCCAGAAGTGTTTTTTCAGGTTAGCTTTCGAATGCCCTTGGTGGAAAAGAGGAGCCCTTTCAGATGGCTGGGGCAGGGAATGGGGGTGCTTAGATTTTTGTTTTTGGTTTCCAAGGGAAAAACGTATCTAAAAAGTATAAATGTTTACAGCATCTGAGCATCTCCAATGATAAGATGACTTTAATATGTGAAAACGTTTGTTGATTTAGTATACTTCAATCTAATTTACAGTAACATCTGTTTCTATTAAGATATTTTCATAAAATATTTTTTAAAATGAAAAAGTAGTGAGAACATTGTTGAGGATTAAAAAAGATTTTCTTGGAAAATTAGTTTTATTTCTTCACAGCAGGAGCACATGATTCCAATATATGACAGTTATTACAGTGTGTATGTGTTTTACTTAAGGAAAAGAAGAGCAAAATAAGAATTTAAATAGTTGATGTTTTCAAGACAATACTTTCAGGGATCATTTCTATAGTTTGTTAAATAGTTGATGTTTTGATACTTAATAAGCATATGTATCTCTGAAATATAGGTCATTCTGTATCTGTTACTCGCTCAGTTCACAAACTGTGATGTCTTCAATATTGGAAGGGAAACACTCTATATTGCAAACAAGGAAAAATGGTTGGTCACCAGTGTGGTATTTTGCTAGTGATAGCTCAGTGTTGTTGTGACAGTATGTGGTCTCTTTCTCTCTTGTTGACTTTAAAACCTGATGCCCATTATAAGATTTGACACCATTGAACCAGAAAGTCTTGCAGTTGAAACATACTTTACTGTTAATACAATAAATACTATTGACATATGTACTGGAGTAGTTGATTTAGCATGAACCGTGGTTTTCTTCCTTCTAGGGAAGCCAATTGGAAGTCTTAAGTTGAGCCTGGAATCAGGAATGGACATTAGTAGCTTTAAAGGAAGTAATATTTCATAGTTATGACAGTAATACTTACCACCATGTATTTTTAAGTTAGACAGATAGAAGGTTGAGTTACAACTCAGTCTAAAATTGTAGACATCAGGCATATGACAGACTGATGAAATTTAGTCTGCTTGTTTTAAAATATAAATATACCTACATCTCAGGTATTGAGTGAGTATACATGTATGTAACATATACGTATATAATATGTAAAATACATAACTATATGTATATGAAGACTATAAAATGCTTAGTGCAATGCCTAGAACATAACAAATGGTCGCTAAGTTGTAGCTATCACTATGTTTCCTCATTTATTTATTTATTTATTTATTTATTTTTTGAGACTGAGTTTCACTATTGTTGCCTGGGCTAGAGTGTGCAATGGTGCGATCTCGGCTCACCGCAACCTCCACCTCACAGGTTCAAGCAATTCTTCTGCCTCAGCCTGCCAAGTTGCTGGGATTACAGGTATGCACCACTATACCCGGCTAATTTTTGTATTTTTAGTAGAGACCTGGTTCCACCATATTGGCCAGGCTGGTCTCACCTGCCTGGCCAATGTTATGAAACTGTCTCTTCCATATTGGCCTGACCTCATGATCCACCCACCTTGGCCTCTCAAGGTACTGGGATTACTGATGTAAGCCACCACACCCAGCCTGTATTCCTCATTTAAATGAAAGCATTAGTATAAAGAGATACTGAAATGTGGTAAGATTATTTTAAATTGATTTTTTTTTTTTTGCTAAAGAAATTAACTTTGTAATAATAAATTATATGATCTCTGGAATAGTCCTTTAGTTATTATGAAGCACTGAGAATTCCAAATTCTCTTACGTTGTTTGAAAATTTCCCAGGAGGAGATTTTGTATCATAGAAGTATTGGTGATATCCATGGATTTCTCTGTGTGTGTGTGTGTGTGTGATGTATATGTGTATGTTTATACACATACACATATGCTTTTTCACGAGGACATTTTCATTCATTAAAAATAATGTTTCATTATATGCTCTATTTGAGAATGTAGTCGAGAAAGTTAAGTGAATAGGCAAAGAAGATTGGAGATTTTTATAGTCTGTTTTCTTAATTACATTGAATATAGTCATTAAAAACTGATTTTTGAATCCTTACTGGTGTTAAGTGATTTGAGTTTCTCAGAGACTTTGGCTTCTTAGTATCATTCATTTGCATATCTAGTGCATCTTGTGTTTCTTTTATTTTGACAGTTTCAGTCTAACATTATTAACACTTATCAGTTAATCAGCTTCATTTAGAATTGTTTTAATTTATAATGACCTCTTCTGATAATGTGAAAAGGGCTCCAATTCTTTATTTCCAGTAAACTTACTGACTTTGCCATTATCAAAAGCAGCTGTTATAATTTATCTGCAAAGAGTATGAGTAGCTGATAGGCTATGATATGTAGGTGATAATGAATATGCAACGTGAAAAATTGAAAAGCTTATAAATATTTTCTAAGTGATAATTAAATTGTTTGACTAAATGAAACATATATCAATTGACTTTGACATAACTTCTGTATGTCATTAATGTTTTTAAGTACCTTTTGCATTGAGATGTATAATATCCAGTTAGTCTTCATGGAACAACTGTGAAATGGAGAATTTACTATCTTAGCAAATGATGTAAGGGGAGAGGACAGAGGTAAGCAATGGATGTTGCCTTTAAGCAAAGAACTTAAGCGGAAGAAAAAGTTTGCATTCATAACACAGGAAATGCAGAGTAGTTATACATTGATATGTATGCGTATATGCACTGAAGATACAGGTGCAGGAAGTTTTTCACTTAGGTTAGATTATATGTGTGACCACTCCTTGAAGCATGCTCGGAAATAGGCAGAGCTGCTTGTCAGGAATGCCACAGTATCTTGGATGATGGCAGAAGATGTGGGATTCTTGTGTCACAGATGAAGGATAATTTATTACAGCAATAGAATTAACAGCATACCAGCATTTGTACTGGTTCCTTGAGCTTCAGTTCACAGTGAGCGTCTTGAAGAGGGCTAGGTGATGCCCACTTATATATTGAATTTACTGCAGGAAAGGAACCTTGAATTTAAGAAACCAAGGTCTTATAAATGGGCAGTAAGCTGCTTTGACCTCTTCCCTAAAGGGAGACTTTATCTTTATTAAACTAGAGATAAACACCCATTTTTCTGGATCAGGACTCTGTCTTCTTTACTATGTGCTGTACAAATATCCTTGAAA